AATAAGAATGAATGAATGCATGAATGAATGCATGAATGCATGAATGAATGAATGAATGAATGAGGTTGAATCCTGGAAGAAACAGGAAAAAACAAAAGGAAATATTTTTTGCACAAGCATAATTAAACTTTGGATTCATTACCATGAGATGTGCTGGCTATCAGCTTGCTGGTTTCAAAAAAGGGTTGGACTAATTCATGGAAGCCACAGGGATCAATGATTATTAGTCTTGATGACCATGTGACTGTTTCTGAAGGCCATCTGCTGGAAGACTAGTAGGCTTCCTTGTGCAATTGGTTGGCCACTGTAAACAGACTGTTGGATTAGATGGGCCAGGGGTCCAATCCACAAGGGCACTGCTTATGTTCTTATGTACTGCAGAGAGATAAAAAGAGAAATGCTGAAGACACAGAGTGTGAGTGTTGGTGGAAGAAAGGAAGATGAGCCAGAGAGATGGAGGAGGTGTAACTGAGTATCAACATTTGGTGGAGAGAGCAAAGAGACTCTTAAGTTTACACAGGTAGAGTGAAATACCAGAGCCTAACAGCCTCACAAGTCTTCCAACTTTGCAGACCAGCCAATGCCAGCCAGCAGTAGTAATTGTTTTCCCTCCCCCACAGATAAGTATATAATAGGCTTAACACACTAGGACTGTACGGTTTGTATAATCAACTTATCCCTTACAAACACCAAAGGAGAAGCATTCAACCTGTGTCTGTGGTTTGGACCATTCCTTAAGTATAACTCTGCTACAGTATCCCATGCTTTAATATAAAAAAGTAAAACTTCTTTGATTTGAATATTTCACTTTATGCAGACAACAAATTGGAGCAGAGGAATTGTTCCTAAATTATAATTCTTCTGCTCTGCTCAAACACACGTAGTCCTTGGTTAACAGCAGTAATTGGGAGTGGAATTTCCATTTCTAAGTAATGCAGTCGTAAAGCACAACGTCACATGACCAGATCACTTAGTGACAGCAATCCCAGCAGTTCCCATTGCTGTTGTTAAGCAAGGATTGCGGGCCGTTAACTGAGAACCTCCTTGCAACTTCCTGCTGGCTTCCAACAAGCAGAGTCAATGGGAAAGCTGGCAGGAAGTTGTGAGTCCCAGGCAGTTCGCAAACAGTCCGGTGCACAGGTGAGCGGCTGCCACAGCCCACTGTCCCTGCCACCCCCCTGCTGACCTTCACTGTCTTATTTCTCCTACTGCTGGCAAGGTGTGCCCAGCCTGGCCCTTCATGAGGCATCTGTTTGCCACACAAGGCCTTCTCAAAGTCGTGCATGGCCTTCCTGAGGTGGCTTCTCACAAGGCTTCAGAAGGCCTCACACAACTTTGAGAAGGCCTTGCACGAACTCAGGAAGAAGGCCTTATGCGGCCAGCAGCAGTGGGAGGAATAAGATGGCAAAGGTCAGCTGGGAGCGGCAGTGGCAGCAGGGCACAGGGCGATGGAGTTCAGGGTGGCAGGAGCAGCGGAGTATGCGGCGGCAGGGACAGCAGAGGGAACGGGCAGCAGAGCTCAAGGTGGCGGCAGGGAGCAGGGTGGCAGGGCAGCCAAAAAGGCAGAGATGGGGGGGAGATAGGTGGGTGGAGAGAAGTTGAAGTGCACCCTGTGGTGGTAAATGTGGGCGGGCTCACAAGTGCTTGAATTTTGGTCACATGACCGCAGGCACACTGCAACAGCTGTAGCTTTTAGGACCAGGAGTAAGTACCATTTGTTCAGTGCCACTGTAGCTTTGAGTGGGCACTGAACGAATGGTCGTTAAACAAGGACTACCTGTAAAAAGCTATGTTAAGATGGTTGCTTACGTAAAAGAAAAGATAAAACATACCTCTTTACAAATTTGTACAGACCCCTATAAATTACCTCTATTTAATAAAAAAATATTTTATCGATCTACATTATTAGGTTGGCAGTTTTGAAAGAAAATATTTCATCATCACTTCCTTTTCTAGATCACCCAGGTTAGAGATAAATTTCATAACTGACATAAGATCAGAAAAAGGAATTTTTAAGGTTCCTTACTTAGTCACTAAGAGACCTAGTCTGGTGTAGTGGTTAAGGCAACAGGCCAGAAACTGAGTTCTAGTCCCGCCTTAGGCACAAAGCCAGCTGGGTGCCCTTGGGCCAGTCACCCTCTCTCAGCCCTAGGAAGAAGGCAATGGCAACCCGCTTCTGAAAAACTGCCAAGAAAACTGCAGGGACTAGTTTAGGTGGTCAAAAACTGACTCAAAGGCACACACACAAAAAAACATCCTTAGTCACTGCTGTAAAACTGTCTATAGCAAACATCCTACAAAAATTGGGTAGGGAAAAACCAATGGCTTCAATAATTGCAGGTAAAAGTAATTAGATAAAAACACTAGACATTTTGCAAACTCTGAGAAACACAGAATTACTAATTTAGAATGAAATGGCTAGTTTCTATATGAAATGGATTTTGGACAGTCCATATAGAATGATGTACTCATGAAAATACAGCATAATAATACATTATTGTCTCCTCTGTTAAAGAGCACCTTAGCATAACTTCAAATGTTTCATTAAAGTACAGAAGTCATATTCAAAGATGACATTATGCTTCCTTATTTATTTATTATTTATTTAGATTTCTCTCAAGGATTCAAGGCATCATACATAGGGGTAATTCCCTCATTTTATTTTCATAATAATGACGCTCTTGGTATTTTCAGAGAATAGTAAAAATGTTTCCTGTCAGACAGTCAGTTTACCTTAACCAGCAGGGTTTGAAAATGTAACACAAAGGAGGTTGTCTTCAGGTCTCTCCGCTGACTTAATAAACTTTACAAGATTGCTCTTGCAGAGTGAATACACTGGTTGAAATTGAGCATAATTAAAAAAGAGATGGTTGCAAATGCTTTGTATTCTTTTGTAACACGTAAGTTTTCTTCAGGGATGTGCTGAACTTACTTTTTAGAAACAGTTTTTATATATAAAACAGATATTTCACCTTTTCCTTGACATATAAATTTGAGAAGCATGTCATTTGTCGGCAAGGCACAAGATTAAACCACAGAACACAGAGGTGTGCTGAAGTGTTCAGGATTCCTGAATAAGGCTGTTGTCATCAGTTGAAGCAGAATTATGCAGGAGTGGCACAACCACACAACAAGCAGCAGTTTGGTTAAAACACCTACTTACAGATTTATGCACAGACAATATTTGAAAATAATCAGTGGATAATGATTTTTATACATAGTGAAATAACAAATGTGGCAATTAAGTACATTCATGTAAACTTCATTTCTTGAGACTTAACTTACAAGTAAAATGATGGCAGATGTTCTTACAAAAATTTAACAGAAAAATATAAATTAATAAACTAATTAATTAAATCATGTCTATTTTAAAAAAGTGTCCAAAATAAACAATAGATATACATGATTTGGGAGTCCTTCTGGCCTTACAGAACACTTCAGCAACAGTCATACCCTTATTATTTCAAAGTCAGATTACTACAATGCACAAGGGCTGTCCTTGAAAGCTACTCAGAAACCTCACCTGGTACAAAATGCAGGAGCCCACAGGATGGTGGCTGAGGGCCATTACAGTAATGCTATACCAATATTAAGGAGACTGAATCAGTTACCATTTCCTGATACAATTCAAGGTGCTGGTCATAAAGCCTTATATGGCTTAGGTCCAGGATATTTACAAGACCATCTCCTCTAAAGGGAATCTGCCTGCCTTTTCTAAGCAGTCCAGGAGGGATGCTCTGGGTTTTCCCTCCTCAAGAGAACAAGTGTGAATGAACCTAGAAACAGAACTTTTTAATAGCTGCCCTATCCCTGTGGAATGTACTGTCCCCTAAAATCTGTATGGTCCCAACACATTTTCTGCAAAGCAACCTTCCTAGAAACCTCCTCCTTTGTCTTCAAAAAACTGAGGCACAGTAAAGGCCAGACCTTGCTAGGTGTCCCTGAAAATTGCTCTATAATGGTATAATCAGGGATTAAGTTGAGGTAGTCAAGTTTGATATAGTATTATAGTAAAGGGTACATTTTTTACTTCTCTGTTGAATTCTTTAATAAATGTACTGAATTGGAAACAAGTTGATCACACCTACATGCCAGATTAATGGGTTTCCATGCATATTTGATTTTTAAAGGAAAAAAAGGAAAGCCTTGAAAAGGGATCTATCCTTTAGAATTTCAACTCTTAAGTCTGCCTTTTTCTGTATTCAGGCTGAAATTTAGAATTGTAAATCATATATATGGCATGTCACACAGGTAGTCCTCACTTAGCAACCACTTGTTCAGTGACCATTTGAACGTACAACGGCACTGAATGAGTGGTACTTACGACCGGTGCTCAAAGTTCCAGCTATTGCAGCATCCCCACAGTCATGTGATTGCCATTTGCAACCTTCTGGCTGGCTTCTTACAAGCAAAGTCAATGGGGAAGCAAGCAGGAGGTCACAAATGGTGACCATGTGATGTCCTTGCTTAATGACCCATGGTAATTTGCTTGACAGCAACCAGAAGTGCCAGAATTTCCATTGCTAAATGGTGCAGTCATGTGATGTCATGCTTTATGACTATGTCACTTAGCAATGGAAATTCCAGTCCCAATTGCCATTGTTAACCAAGGACCACCTGTATATATCTTGAAACTCAATGCAAATGGGATCAGACAGCTGTCCTGCTTTGCAGGGTTACAGGTGCAGTCCTCTCCACCTCATTCTGGGTTGTTATACTTTCTCACCAAGCCAATATTCTATGTTCTAAAACTTATAAAAGAATAGGGTTGGTCATCTTTTTGGATAGTGTCTGTCTACAATGGGAACAGGAGGAGATTTGCTGCAGGAGTCTCTTCTTCCGCTAACGACATGATCCCTATCTGTTGAAATTTGTGCACAAATTTATTAAGGTTCAGAAATAAGAACTGAGTTTCTTTACATTCATGATTTGCTAAGTACTTCTTGGCAAATTCTCACAGAAATAATACAGATTCAAGACTCATATAGGTGACAACGGAGACCTGAAATGAGAAATCCTCTTCAATTTTTCAGTATTGTATTACCAGAAAAGAAACCAGAGGCATCAATTTGACAAGTCTGAATACAAAATTATCATAAAATCGCTAAGAAACTCAACAAATTTCAAATGAATTGCATTGCTTAATACAAGACACTCTAGTTGTCACTATATTGTGAAATCCCCAGTACAGTTACCTGTATCAGAGTAAATCTATTTTCAGATATTTGTAGATAGACAAAAAAATCTGCTGTAGCTTCTCCATTCTGAAGTTGAGGAATGAGTGAGACAATGACCAAGACACCTTTGGTCTGATGTAATTAGAACCGATACATCCAAGAATTCCAGTAAGTTCAACATGCCATTTTTTTCATGATCTAACAGTTCATTTGTTCTAAACTCTTTTTGTTCATTCAACTGTGACTCAGTTTTTAGAGTAAACTCTACCAAAATTATTCATTTGAGACTGACAGAAGAAGTGAAATTATGCTGATTGGAGTTATAGCATAACCACTCAAAAGTCATTCTGAAGAATAAAAGCTCTGCTTTCTCACATTTCAATTTTTAATATCCAAAAGATTTAGTGTAACTTATCACGACCTCTTGGGGGCACAGGTGGTGGGTGGAAGTTGTCAAAGCTCAACAGCCTGCAATTAAATATTTGAAAATAGGATAAGAATAATTTATGTTACATAACATATTACAGTTACAAATTTATTTTAAAAAACAATTAAATACTTTGAAACTTAGGGTTTTTTTTAAGTTGGTACACAATAACATTTATGACAATAATCTTAGGTGCCTCAAGAATGGCACATGTAACACCTTTACTGCAGGTTAGGGACCCAGTTAGCTTCCTGGTCCAATTCAAGGTGTTGGTTATTACCTTTAAAGCCGTACATGGCAAGGGTCCAGGTTAGGGACCATAAGGGACCATCTCACTCCCATTACATCAACCCATCCCACCCAGTCAGGCAGAGAGGGCACGTTGCGGACCCTGTTGGCGAGAGAATGTTGTTTGACGTGGCCTAGGAGGAGAGCCTTCTCTGCCGTCGCCCCCACCCTTTGGAATATTCTTCCCCCAGAGGTGCAGCAGGCCCCTACCCTCCCGGCTTTCTGGAAAGGATTAAAGACCTGGCTCTGCCAGCTTGCATGGGGCAACAAGAATTTTACCCAATCCTGGGGATAGCTGGTGCCTTGATGACACTCTCTGAGCTACTGCCAATTTAACATCTATTCTTGGATTTTATTTATTTTCTATTTATTCTGGATCTTTTTACATTGTATTTTTAATTGATTTTAACTGCTTTGTAAACCATCCAGAGTTGTTTTTAACAAGATGGGCGGTGACAAATTTGATATATAAATAAAAATTTTAAAATAAATAAAATGATTTTAAAAAACATATTATTGTTGTTTCATATGGAATCATTGATTGACATCCCATTTTATTTATTTATTTATTTATTAAATTTGTATGCCGCCCATCTCCCCCAGATAGGAAATAAGCTAATTATCACATTAGCTTATTTCTAACTATATTAAAGTACTTCACTCCTTAATAAACAAGGAATTAGATCTCCAAACCTGCAAACGTTTTTCTGATTCCAGAGCCTTGATACTAATCAAGTTGTGAAAGGAAACGTTGAATTTAGAGCCCTTACAGGAAAAAAAATCCCATTTGTGAAGCACTACCATCATCTTTACCAGTTAACACATTCCAATGCCACTCACATAATAAGAGTAGAAATTTATACCCCAATGTGTGCATTCAATTCCACTACAAATTAGCACCTCATTCTAATCTCCCCATGGACTTTCTGCCAAGGGTGCTAGATTCCAATGGTTTTGGACAACTACCAACCAGTCTCCAACCTTCCCTTTTTGGGGAAGGTTGTTGAGAATGTGGTCTGAAGCTGATGAGAACCCTGGAAGAAACAGATTATCTAGACCTGTTTCAATTCAGTTTCAGGCTGGGATTTAGTACTGAGACAGCATTGGTTGTGCTTATTGATGAGCAGTGCTGGGATGGCAGTGGTGCATCCATCCTTGCGCTTCTTGATCTCTTAGTGGCTTTCAGTACTGTCAACCATGGTATCCTTCTAAGCCAACTCCATGGATTGTGGATTGGGTGTGGTTTTTCCTCCAGGATGGTTCCAGTTGGTGTTGGTTGTGGGGGTGAGGTCACTTCCTAGGCCCTTTCTGTGTGGGGTGCCACAGAGTTCTACTCTCCTCTCCTTTTCAACATCTATATGAAACCTCTGGGTGAGGTCATCCGCCAGTTTAGCGTTCCTCAGTATGCTGATGTCAAGGTGGTGTCCCAGTGCCTGGAGGCTGTGCAGGCTTGGATGGGGAAGAAACGTCTCTGACTCAATCCTACCAAGATCAAGTGGCTGCTGTGGGTGTCCAGATCTGGGGATGGAAATCTTTAACCTTGGATGGGGTAGCACTTCCCCTTTCAAGGTTGGTACGCAATTTGGAGGTCTTCCTGGACTCACAGTTCCTGCTTGAAGAG